TCCCTTAGGTAGACTCACCAAGAATCAAAGAAAAATATCTCAAATACAAAAAAGCAGATATGAAAAAGGAGAAATAGCCCTGGCCGGTATGGCTCAGTGGTTGGAGCGTCGGCCTGCGGTCCTGAGAGACCCGGGTTCAGTTCCCGCTAAGGGCATGTACCTCGGTTGCAGTTTGTCCCTGGCCCTGGTTGGTCGTGCGGGTGGCAGCCACTCGATATGTCCCTTTCACATCGATGTTTCTCTCTCTTTTCCTCTCTCCCCCTCCCACTCTACCGGAACAAAAAATGGGAAAATGTCCTCAAGTGAGGATAAAAAAAAAAAAAAAAAAGAGAAATACTAACTGACACCACAGAAATACAAAGCATCGGTAACAAATATTATGAACAATTATATGGCAACAAATTCGACAATCTAAGTGAAATGAAAAAATTTCCATAAACACATAGTTTCCCAAAATGAGATGGGGAAGAGATAGAAATCTTGATCACACCAATACCAACAAAAGAAATTGAAGAGGTAATCAAGACTCTCCCAGCAAACAAAAGCCCAGGCCCCGAGGGCTTCACGGGAGAATTTTACCAAATAATCAAAGAAGAACTAAAGTCCATTCTCCTCAAACTATATCAAAAAATTCAAGGAAAAGGAAGACTTCCAAACCCGTTTTATGAGGACAGCTTAATACTAATTCAAAAACCAGAAAAAGCACTACAAAGAAAGAAAACTACAGACCAATATCCCTGATGAACATAGATGCCAAAACCCTGAACAAAATAGTAGCAAATCGAATCAGCAATACATCAAAAAAATTATTCACCATGACCAAATGGGATTCATCCCAGGGATGCAAGGCTGGTACAATATTCACAAATCAATAAATGTGATACACCACATAAACAATATGAAAGATAAAAATCATGTGATCATATCAATAGATGCTGAAGAAGCATTTGACAAAATCCAGTACCCATTTCTGATAAAAATGCTTAGCAGTCTGGGAATAGAGGGATCATATTTCGATATAATAAAGGCCATATATGAAAGACCTACAGCCAACATCATACTTATAGGGCAAAAATTAAAAGCATATCTTTTTAGAACAGGAACAAGACAGGGATGTACACTTTTGCCACTCTTATTTAACTGGAAGTTTTAGCCACAGCAATCAGACACAAAGAAAAAATAAAAGAGATCCAAATTTAAGGAGGAAGTGCAACTGTCATTATTCGCAGATAACATGACACTATACATAGAAAACCCTAAAGACTCCATCAAAAATTTACTAGACTTAATAAATAAATTTGGCAAAGTAGCAGGATACAAAATTAACGTCAAGAAATCAATGGTATTTTTATACACCAATGATGAACTCACAGAAAGAGAACCTAAAAAATAATTCCATTTACCACTGGAGCAAAAAAATTAAGATACCTAGGAATAAACGTAACCAAAAAAATAAAGGATCTATTTGCAAAAAACTACAGGTCATTGAATAAAGAAATAGAGGAAGATATAAAAAAGTGGAAGCACATACTTTGTTCATGGAATGGAAGACTTAACATCATTAAAATGTCCATATTACTCAAAACATTTTATAGATTTAATGCAATCCTCCCCCAAAATACCAACATACTTCACAGAACTAGAAGAAATACTTCAAAATTTCATATAGAACAAAAAAAGCCACAGCAATCTTTAACAAGATGAAGAAAGTTGGAGGGATCACATTACCAGATTTCAGGTTATACTAGAAAGCCACTGTAATCAAAACAACCTGGTACTGGCACAAGAACAGGCAGATAGATCAATTGAACAGAATAGAGAACCCAGAAATGGACCCAAGACAATATGCTCAATTAATATTTCACAAAGGTGGCAAGAACATACAGTGGAGTCAAGACAGCTTTTTAAATAAATGATGTTGGGAATATTGGACAGCTACATGCAAAAAAATGAAACTATGCCCTGGCCAGTTTGGCTCAGCGGTTAGAGCGTCGGCCTGCAGTCTGGAGAGACCCGGGTTCGGTTCCAGCTAAGGGCACGTACCTCGGTTGCAGTTTGTCCCCGGCCCTGGTTGGTCGTGCGGGTGGCAGCCACTCGATGTGTCCCTTCACATCGATGTTTCTCTCTCTCTCCCTTCCTCTCTCTCCCTCCCACTCTATCTGTACAAAAAATGGAAAAATATCCTCGGGTGAGGATAAAAAAAAAAAAAAAAAAAGAAACTAGACCATCAACTTACACTCCACACAAGAATAAACTCAAAATGGATAAAAGACTTAAATGTGACTCATGAATCCATAAAAATTCTAGAAGAAAATTTAGGCAACAAAATTTCAGACATCATACGCAGCAGAATTTTCACTGATACATCACCTAAGGCAACAGAAACAAAGGAAAAAATTAACACATGGGACTACATCCAACTCAAAAGCTTCTGCATAGTAAAAGATACTATCATCAAAATGAAAAGGCAACTCACTGTATGGAAGAGCATAATGGCCAATGATATATCCGATAAGGGGTTAATTTCCAATATATGTAGAGTGCTTATACAACTCAACAAAAGGAAGACAAAGAACCCAATTAAAAAATGGGCAGAGGAACTAAATAGACACCTCTCCAAAGAGGTCATACAAATGGCTATGAGACATATAAAGAAATGCTCAACATCACCAGTCATCAGAGAGGCAAATTAAAACAACAATGAGGTATCACTTCATACCTGTCAGAATGGCCGCCATCAACAAATCATCAAACAACAAGTGTTGGCGAGGGTGTGGAGAAAAGGGGACTCTAGTTCACTGCTGGTGGGAATGCAGACTGCTGCAGCCACTATGGAAAACAATATGATGTTACCTCAAAAAATTAAAAATTGAACTTCCATTTGACCCAGTGATCCCACTTCTAGTAATATACCCTAAGAAGCCTGAATCACCAATCAGAAAGAATACGTATATGTAACACTATGTTCATAGTAGCCCTATTTACAATAGCTAAATTGTGGAAACAGCCCAAATGTCCATCAGTAGACAAATGTATAAAAAAGCTGTGGTACATATACACAGTGGAGTTCTATGCTACTGTAAGAAAGAAAGATCTTTTATCTTTTGAGACGACATGGAGGGACCTGGAAAGTATTATCCTAAGTGAAACAAGCCAAACAGAGAAAGACAAGTATCATATGCTCTCACTTATTTGTGGAATATAGGAACATAATAGTCTGAGGAATGGGGTAATTTTAGAGATGTGAAAGTGGGGTACAAATTGACAATCCCCAGAGGAGGGTATGTGTGTTTGTGTGAGAGATAAACCACAGAACTTATAAGCATGTCTGCATGAACAATTGATATGGACAACAAAGCTGGCGATAGAGCAGTGAGGGAGGGGGTGGGGGGAATTAGTGGGGGGAAAAGGAGAAACATCTGTAATAAAAATAAATTAATTAATTAAAAAAATAAAAACAAGGGAAGTCTTGTCTTAATGAATTCCCATTATCTCACAACCACATCAAAATTACAATTACACTACAGAACAACCATCATTTAGTATTGGCAATATGTAGCTGAACTGAAGTCCTACAACTAAGGATATAAAGAAGAAGCCTCATCAAATTGGTAGGAAGGGTGGGGATCAATCACAATAGTTCAGTTCTACATATATCTGAATGCCCAGACAAGGTCAGCATATACATCCCAGCTAACCCATAACAGACTACAGTCTTATGAGGACACCAGGAGAGATCAGAACACTTCCTTCTATACAAACCCATTTTAAAATAAAGAAATTATAATAAATTTTTTGTTTTTAGAATGACTTGTTTTATAGCAATAGAAAATCGATACTATAATCAAAGCAAACAGTACTGAGGGAAATTATAGTAATCTGTTACTTCTTACTTTTGGCTTTGATATTGATATTTGAGGACAGCATTCCAAATTATTCTGTTATTCAAATGTATTTCAGATAACTGTATAAAACTGACCTCACTGAGGTTTCCTTCTTGGTAACCAGGACAGGGTGGAAGGACATGCATGTTTGTGCAGGGAAATTTGTGATTTTTATTCACTTGACTGGGAAGAATTATAACTCCTATGTGATTTATCCTTTGGTCATAAAGATTTAGAAAATGGGAGATATCTTAGACCATTTACACATGAACATCATATTCCACACTTTATTTTTCTTTTTAAAATTTTATTTTTTATTAATTTTTAAAAAGAGAGGTTAAGGAAGAGAGAGAGAGAGAGAGAGAGAGAGAGAGAGAGAGAGATTAGAAACATTGAGTTTCTCCAGTATGTTCCCTGACTGGGAATGGGATCCACAACACTTAGGTCAAGGCCAAATTTCACACTAGATTTCTAGTATAATATTTTTATATAGTAATAAATAATATGGCTATTTTTGCTTCATAATATGTATTGTCATACCTAACTCTAACCCTATTAGATCAATGTAGTTTTTAAAACTGTATATTTCCATGTAGACTCCTTTTGGACTCATGTATATGATAGTCAATTTTTGTCAGTGGCTATGGTAGGCATGTGGACACAGCTGAATAACAGAATGAAGACAATAAACCAGGATGCCAGCTAGAAAACACAGTAGCATGTTAAAGTTTACACGATCAAGAAGAGCAGTAAAGGTAGTGTTACCGAAAATGATGATGATGAATGTATAAGTGAAAACTGTGGTCTGAGATTTTCCTCTACAATATAAGTATGTAAATAATCTAGGTAGCCAAGTATAGTTTTGTCCACAGGGGTTATAGATTTCATGATTGTTTTTTCAGGGAAACAACAAAAAATTGCTAGGAATGATATATGTCATTTGAGAATAAATTGTGCTAACATAAGTCATGTTAACCCATGAGATAAATGAGAATTTTCAATTATCTATGGTCCAAAGATCAGATTAATTTGTGTCAGAACTTCTGGCTTTGAGACTTTACACTCTGCATTCATCATGGGACGTCTTCAGCCTAGTACAGTTGGCACTTGGAAAGCTTACCTGACCAAAAATCTTTCCAGGGCCCTCTTTATATCCTTGTTCTTCAGACTGTAGATGAAGGGGTTCAGCATGGGTGTGACCACAGTGTACATCACTGAGGCTGTTGCACTTGAGTGTGCATTGTGGGTAGCAGCAGAGCTGAGGTAAACTCCTAGGCTTGTACCATAGAATAATAAGACCACTGAGAGGTGAGATGCACAAGTAGAAAATGCTTTATATTTCCCTTGAGCTGATGGGATTCCACATATGGAGGAAATTATCTTAGAGTAAGAGTAAAGGATCCCAGCAAGGGGACCACCGCCCAGCAGCCCAGCTGAAAAATACATTATTATGTTGTTAAGAAAAGTGTCAGAACAGGCAAGTTGGATCATCTGATTGAGTTCACAGAAAAACTGGGGAACTTCCAAGTGTGAGCAAAAGGGCAGACCCAATACCATTAAGCTTTCTAACAAGGAATTCAAGGCACTCATGATCCAGGACACCAGAACCAGCAGTCCACAGAGCCAGGGATTCATGATGACCATGTAGTGCAGGGGGTGGAGATGGCCACAAAGCGGTCATAGGCCATTACAGTCAGGACAAAGTTGTCCAATACTGCAAAGAGTATATAAAAATACATTTGGGTGATACAACCTTCAAAGGTTATGGTTTTGCTCTGTGTCTGAATGTTTACCAGCATCTTTGGGACGGTGGTGGAGGTGAAACAGATGTCTACAAAGGACAGGTTGGAGAGGAAGAAGTACATGGGTGTGTGGAGGTGGGAGTCTGAGCAGACGGCCAGGATGATGAGCAGGTTTCCAAACACAGTGATCAGGTACATGGAGAAGAAAAGTCCAAATATGAGGGGTTGTAGTTCCAGTGCCTGTGAAAGTCCCAGAAGAAGAAATTCTGAAATTTGTGTACTATTGCCTGGTTCCATGTGTTGGCAGTGACTACCAAAAAAAATAGAAAAAAATTGAATAACCATTTTTATACTGGCAAGCATGAGTAAGTTAGAATAAATGACACATTTATGTTTTAAAGTCAGGAAAATAATTTCCATATTTGGTGTATGATCTGATCTTCATTACAATATTTATTGCCATTTCTCATTAGAATTTTCTTTTCTACCATCAACCGAACATAATGTATATGGCTGTGTTATTGATTATATCTTTCATGCATTTGAGGAATATATATTCACTCTAGACCATGTTCTAGGCACTGCTTTATGTATGAGGAGCTGAAAAACATATAAAAACTAATGTTGGAGAAAGAATATAATCAAATAAAGATAATAATATAAAATCAAATGGTGCAGCTGCTATAAATAAAAGTAAATTATATTAAATGGAGAGAGTGTATAGAGGGTATTCTTTATTTAAAGGGTTTAGCTAAGACTTACCAACAGGCGGCACTTAATAGACACCTCGAAGAAGACTAAGTGGGAGATTAATGGGAAGGTTTATCCCAGGCAGAAGCAAACACCAGTGCAAAGAGCCCAACGAAGATGGTTGTTTTAGAAAATTAAGGCTCCTGAGTTTCAAGATGGTGGTGAGGTAGGTAGATTATTTCCACACCTCCTCCTAGAACCAAACTGAAAAACATTCACCCTGAATTTCCAACTGAATTCTAGCTGAAGAGATTTATTTATTTATTTATTTATTCATTTATTTATTTACTATCTTTATTGCTGAGAGCATTATGGATGTCCCCCATTGCCCACCTCCACCGAGTTTTCTCCCCACTCCAGGCCTTTATAAACAGGGGATGGCAGAAACCACCATGAGATTAGTATGAATGTTGGGGTCACAAGAAGATGGGTCATACTTCCATAGGGGTGCCAAGGTTAAAGAGGGATATCTTGGATGCAGGGTGTTATCCCTGAGAGGATAGAGGCTCCGACTCCAGGCTGAGCTACTCAGCTTGGAGTGCTGGAGCCTGGAACATTCACACACTTAGCATCCAACAATGAATGGTGGTGGGGCTTCTATTCTCCAGGGAGAGATGGAGCCCCCTACAGACAAAGCATCCTCCCCTTTTTTTAAAGGCTAGAGTACAAGACTTTGTTCCCAATGACTCACCCTGAGCTTCAGTGGTGAGAGGGGAGTGTGGACATCACCTGAGGAGAGTCTAGAATGGAGGCATTGGGGAGAGACATGGGAAAAAGTCTGCCTAGATACCTGTGCTCAGTCATCTCCCCCACACCACAGCATTCATTTTTCCCAAGAGTTGCAAACCCTCCCAAAAGTAATTACCCTGCCCTCTAAAATCTCACTTGAACCACTCTGCATCTCAACCCTTGCTGAAAAGGCAGTAGCAGAGGCTGAACCTACAAGTCTGAGCAGACACAGGGGTTGTTAGTGACTGGTGGGGTGGAGCATTTCCCCAGCTTTCCCAGGAACCAAACTGGTGCTTCCACCTAATGAGAGAGCTAATAGAAACTCCCAGCTTCTGGAAGATCAGCCTACAAGGGGATCCATCCTGCCAAGGTAAGGGAAATATCCAGGACAGACTCAGGCATGTGCTTCTGAAATGGGAGTTCAGAGTAATAGTTATAAGGATGCTCAACAGCTTGAGAATGTACACACACACACACACACACACACACACACACACACACATATATATATACATACACACACACAAAAAAAACCAATAGAAAGTGAAGAATAACATAGAAGAAATAAAGAATAAACTGGTAGGAATAAATAGCAGATTAAAGAAAACCAAGTATCAAATCAACAAATGAGAAGACAGGACAGAAAAAAAAAAATCACTCAATCTGAGAACCAAAAGGAAAGAACAATTAAAAAACTAGAAGAGAGTTTCAGAGAGCTGTTGGAAAACAGGAAACATAACATTTGTATCCAGTAATACCAGAAAAAGAAGAAAGTGAGCAAGAATTAGAGGACTAGTGGCAGAAAACTTTTTAATTTGGTGAAGAAAAAAGGGATACAAGTTCAGGAAGCACAGAAATTTCCAAGAAAAAAGAACCCAAAAAGTACCATGCCAAGACACATAATAATAATAAAAAAATAAAAATAAAAATAAAAAGAGAGAATCTTTTATTATTATTATTATTAATTTTTGTTACAGATGATTCTCCTTTTTTCCCCCACTGATTTCCCCCTCCCCCTCCCCTCTTTGCCCCTTCCCCAGATTGTTGTCCATGTCCACTGTTCATGCATACATGCATATAAGTTCTGTGGTTCATCCCTCCCCCACCTCCCCACTCCTTAGGGGATTGTCAGTCTGTACCCCGCTTCCGCATCTCTGGGACTACCCCATTCCTCAAACTGTTATGTTCATTATATTCCATAAATAAGTGAGATCATATAAAATTTGTCTTTCTCTGTTTGGCTTGTTTCACTTAGGATGATACTTTCCAAGTCCCTCCATGTAGTCTCAAAGGATAAGAGATCTTTCTTTCTTACCACTGCGTAGTACTCCATTGTGTATATGTACCACAGCTTTTTGATTCATTCGTCTACTGATGGACACTTGGGCTGTTTCCAGATCTTAGCGATTATAAATAGTGCTGCTACAAAGATGGGGGTACATATATTCTTTCTTATTGGTGTTTTATGCTTCTTAGGGTATATTCCTAGAAGTGGGATCACTGGGTCAAATGGAAGATCAATTTTTAATTTTTTGAGGTGACACCATATTGTTTTCCATAGTGGCTGCACCAGTCTGCATTCCCACCAGCAGTGTACTAGAGTCCCCCAAAAGAGAGAATCTTAAAGGCAGCAAAAGAAAAGCAAAGGATTACCTACAAAGGAGCTACCATGAGGCTGTCAACTGATTTCTCAAAAGAAACAATACAGCCTAGAAGGGAATGGCAGAAAGTATTTAAGGTAATGAAAAGCATGAATCTGAAACCAAGACTACTCTATCCAGCAAGTCTATCATTTAAAATAAAAGACAAGAGGATACAAAAATGGCGGCAGAGTGAATGGAAGCTACACAGATGATCTTCCAGGACCAAACAGGAATAACAACTAAAATAAAGACAAATCATCAGAAAAGCAACAGCACAGGACCATATAACCAGGGACACTGGTAGGATCTGCAGAGGCAAAAGAGGGCGGTGGGCTGAGACCCCACAGACAGCAGGGTCTTAGCTGTGAGTAATGCCCTCAGGGATAAAGCACTAAACTTTCTCCACAGCACAGAGGGTGAGAACAGAGCACTGGATTGGCTACAGCTACTCACCTGAGGCTCCAGCAGAAGGAGGGCAGACTGGACTGCTACTCTGTGGGGACACCCGGAATTTGGAGGGCACTCAGAGTTTTTGCTGAGTCGAAACCACAAAGGACGGTGGCCAGTTTGCTCCTTCCAGGAGCTGTGGGGAAAAGCAGCAGCCCCTCCCTCGAAGATTCAGCCTGATCAAGGTGAAAAAAGAAATGCAAGTTGAGGCTTATTAACAACCAGCATCTGTTTCACCCTCTGGAAATCCTCTAATGCAGAACTCCAGGGCTACATTCCAAGGCACTGAGTAACTGAGACTACTAGCCACCAGGAAATAGCTAGAGGATAACTGAACTCTTCATGGGCTTGCAAACCTACCCAGGAAAGTAAGACTTGATAGTGGTGTTTAACGTGGGCCGGCCTAGGCTCATCTAAACTCAGTAGAGAAAGCCACAAACAGAACACCGACACCTATAGGGAAAATTTGTCAGGCTCCAAAACCCACTGAGAGAGCCAAAATGGTGAAATAAAGATAAAAATCCCAAATGAAAGAACAAGAGAACTCTATCGAAGATGAGATAAATGAAATGCAGTTAAGCAAATTATCAGACATAGAGTTTAGAGCCATAATATTGAGGAAACTCAACAGCATGAGTAAGGACATCAGCACCATGAGTAAAGATATAAAAAGTTGAAAACAAACCAAGTGATAATGAAGAATGACATAGCAGAAATAAAGGACACACAGGAAGGACTAATCATCAGAGAAGAGGAAGCTGAAGACTGGGTCAGTGAATTAGAAGACAGGGTAGAAAAAAATCAACCAGTCAGAAAACCCAGAGGAAAAAACAATTAACAAAAGAAAGATAGCTTAAGAGAACCGTGGAACAAATGGAAATCTAATAATATTCGCATCATAGGAATCCCCAAATAAGAAGAAGATGGGAAAGTGTTAGAGAACATATTTTAAAAAATAGTGAAAGAACACTTTCCTAACTTGGTGAAGGAAGAAGGCATTCAAGTTCAAGAAGCACAGAGAGCCACAAGTAAGAAGAACCCAAACAGGCCCATACCAAGACACATAGTAATAAAATGCCAAAACTTAAAGACAAAGAGAAAATCCTAAAGGCAGCAAGAGATAAACAACAGGTAACCTACAAAGGAAACCCCATTATGCTTTCATCTGACTTCTCAACAGAAACATTGCAGGCCAGAGGGAATGGCATAAAGTAATCAAGGTCATGAAAACCAAGGATCTGAATCCAAGACTACTCTATCCAGCAAGGCTATCATTCAAAATAGAAGGTCAAATAAAGAGTTTTTAGACAAAAAAGGCTAAGGGAATATATTAGCACCAAACCAGCACTGCAAGATATGTTAAAAGGACTGCTGTAATTAGTAGAAGGAATAGGAAGAAAAATATACCCACACTAAACAAAAATGCCAATAAATAAGTACATATCAATAATCACCTTAAATGTGAATGGTTTGAATGCTCTAATAAAAGACACAAAGTAGTTAACTGGATAAGAAAACATGACCTGCCCTGGCCAGTTTGGCTCAGCGGTAGAGCGTCAGCCTGTGGTCCAGAGAGACCCAAGTTGGTTCCCGCTAAGGGCATGTGCCTTGGTTGAAGTTGTCCCAGCTCCTAGTTGGTCGTGCGGGTGGCAGCCACTCGATGTGTCCCTTTTGTGTCGATGTTTCTCTCTCTCTCTCCCTCCCACTCTACCTGAACAAAAAATGGAA